CGGATATGTGCATTCATGTATGTAAATTAGGTTGCGAGAAGCCGTTGAAAACATTCCAGGTAATCTTAATTTTTTTAATTCATTGAAATTATTAGATAAAATTGGAAGTGTGGAGCTTATTGTTCTTCACAGGTTACATTTTTGTTTTGATAATAAATTCGCTTGATTTTTGCTAGTTTTGTATGTGTTACTGACATTTCGTTGTTGGACTGGTCGAAGTATTTCATCATTATTTGTACTGTACCAAAGAAGATTTTTTCTCGTGAAAGTTTTCCCGAGATTTCTGTTTTTCAATCTAGAGGAATATAATTTTGTGCCAGTCAGATCAAACTAAATACATTCCAGGGCCATACAAATGAAGTGAATGCTGTGAAGTACGATGTATATTCACGACTTTTGGCTTCATGCTCCGACGACATGACATTGAAAGTAAGTGTTTTTCATTTGAAAAAATTTCACCTTATTTTGTAAAACAGAATTGTGGAAACAGTTACGAAGACACCTTAACGAAATAAATACCCTTTCATTCTTGGGCGGTGTACTTAAATTCAAATTCGCCTCAGGTATGGTCAATGAATTACGAAAATGTGGTACACAATTTAAAAGCACATGATAAGGAGATTTATACAATACGTTGGTCGCCAGTTGGTTATACTCTTGCAAGGTAATTTTCTTGTAAAAAAAGTGGATAAATTTTCATAGTTATGGTAGTCATACATTTATTAGAATTTAATAAAAATCTAAGTTATTTTTTGGAGAGTTATTACTTTCAGTGCATCTTTCGATCATACGGTTCGGTTATGGGATATTGAACGAGGAATGTGCGTTCGAACGCTGACAAAACACACGGAACCAGTCTATTCTGTTGGTTTTTCACCAGATGGAAAGTATATCGCATCCGGTTCATTCGATCGTTCTGTCTACATATGGGATGTACAGGTTAAGATGTACACTTTTTGTTAGGATTACGAAGCAATGCATGATCGTATTTGTAGTTTATAGATTTGAGAATTTAGGTATTTCTGCCGATTCACATACTACGTCGTTCAAAATTACAATTGTTCTAGCATGATCATCAAACAATAAACTAGTTGAAAAATTGAATATCGGGGAAAGAAGGAAAAGATGAATCATTTTATTTGGTTTTGCCAATTCTTTAAACTGAATTTTGTTCGTTTTGTCGGTACTGTTGACGGAGACCTATTTGGTGTTGAAAGCTCATTTTCGCTAATGCTGGTGGTCCATTTGAAGTGAAGAATTTAAAATCTGCGAAATTTTTAGTCGGGAAAGTTAATTCAAAGCCATACGGGAAGTCTAAGTGATGGTGGAATTTTCGAAGTTGGATGGAATTTTCGGGGCGACAAAGTTGGTGCATCAGCGAGCGATGGAACGGTTAGTAATTAGACAGTTTTATTCATTTTAATACTCCACTTATCGTTTTTAGAATTTTTGTAAGCTTCCTTGGGATATATTGCATTGAATTATTTTATTTGAATTTATTTTGCGCAATCACTTATCAGTTTACGTAATTCTTTTGAATGAAAGTTAAACGGTTGCCGTTCAGGATCTGTTATCATGCATTTTAGGTAATCATACTGGATGTACGACACATCAAGAATCGATTGTTGTGAAGTTTTTGATAGTTGTTACTAGAATTATAAATTGATCACTATCCATTTATTTGCACAACTTGCGATTTGTCGAAATGAGGGTTTTTCTTAAAATGTATAATAGTTTGGTTGTTAAAAGAGAAGATATATTTCTGCCGGTTTTGTACAGGTCATTCAATTTTTTTAATTTAATTATTTCTCATATCTCCCTTAGGTTTCGATGAAATTTGAGGTCAACTATTTTAAGCAGGTGAATTTAGTGAACTTATTTGTTAGCACCTTCCTCTTTAGAATATTTCAGTTGTTTATTTCTGTTTGTGAGTTTAATTATTAGTAAATGGGCAGATGGTCATGAATCGGGAAATATATTTGAAATGAAAATGTTATACTCTTAATAATATAACCTTTTCAGTCGCTATGCCTCATTTCGGTTAAGGTCAGACGTGGATTAACTGTTGCTCCATTCGTGGCCATAACGTTGTGAATTGCTAACAGTCTGCCTCTAAATTGTGTTTCATTTTCTTTTTAATTTTATAATGAAACATCGATTGCTATGCCTCTCAATTTCTTTTCGTGCTTCTTTGGTTTCAATAATTTATATAACATTTCACTATTTCAGACGGTGGGTTTTTCCAGTTTAATCAGCTTTCTGTTTTACTTTCATTTTACTTTATCTCTATTACCATATTTTTGCCAATAATTATGTTGGCTATTTGCTGCTGTTGTAACTTTCATTTTATCAGATAAGTTATTGTTGGATCACGAAAAATTTTTTCCATGTAATAACAGAGGAAGAAGCATAGTTTAGAGGATTACGATTCCAGTGAAATATGGAATTTTGACAAATTTACGAGTTGAAGTTCAGAATCTAAGTGCTTATGTGCTTTCTTCGCCATTTTGTCTCAAATCCTAATTTTTGGATTTCGTTATATCCATTTTCATAAGTAGGTGTGCAACTAGTCTAGTCAGATAAGTTGAGAACGAAATTTAGCTAAGTATATAAAAATGGAGAATTTCTGGAAGCTTTTCATAATCCTAATACGCTTTTTTTAAACTTCATCGGTTCGTTATTTCACATTCTATTTCGTTTCTTATAGTTGTTCTTATTTTTATTACAAGTCATCCTTCGTTTTCATAAACCTGAACCAATAAAAATATTGCATATCCGCTTGAAGATGCCGTTTCAATAATTTTTCAAGTAATCAACAGATTTAGCTATTTGGTGTTGGAATCGGAGTTAGCTTTAATTCTTGAGAAAATAAGAAAATAAAATTTCAATAAACGAGTTGGATGAACTGAAAGCAGGAGATAGGCCATAAACATAGGATGAAGAACAGATGGGTGAAAGATTAGAATGAGCATTACTATTTAAACCGGTGTCTCGCATTGCAAAAGCCTGCGTTTTTGTATTACGGTGATGTAAGGAATTATTTTTACCCGACTTGTGATTACACTGTTGCAAGCAGTTTTGTTTATGAACTGAAATTTCAGAAGTTTAAAATCCAAAAATTCAAGTCTGGGAAAGAGACGAGGATGAGAAACTAAGAGGGAATGGAAGAAACTGATTTTGAAGATTCGTTTAGTCATTTCTGAACAACTTTTGCTACATACTGGTAGAAGTTAATTCCCATTCGCAACCACAAATAGTGGGAGATACTTACAAGAGGAACCAAAGAAATAAGCGCAGTGTTCATTTCATTCGTTGTCTACGCGCAACGCCTGTTCAATTACGTGGCAAGTTATGGTGTACAGAGAAGTAAGTGTATTTAATGATATTTCGTAATGGATAGATAAGGAAGGAATTAGTCAGCAGAAATATAATCCTTTGTTCGTTCATAGATTTTGCAGCGCTACCAGCACTGCAGGTATGGGATACTATCTATCACATCATATATCTCGAATTTTTTCTGAACGCTTTCTCAAAGAATTAGCGAAGCTGTCTTACTGAAGACTTAACGCTGATCTTATTATATAATAGCTGGAATGCAAATATATGTTTTGTGATTTAATTCTTTAAAGTTTCCCACATAAATTTATATATGGTTTTTTTTGTCTCCATTCAATCATGTTCATTCTGAAATCGTCTTCTTATCTGATACAATTAAAATTCGGTATAGTTTGTAGCTTATACTATTTTTATCATTTTCGCACGAAGTTTAACGTAACCTTAAAGTTTGTCAATGAATTATCAATGAATTTGCTTTCGTGGAGTGATTCATCCAAACCTAATAGGCTAAGTCTTACAATTCAAACCACCGTATTCCTATTTTCCGGAAGTTGTATTCCACCAAATGATCGACTGTTAGATGATTTCATAATTGTTACTGCATTTTCTAATGGCATCATTTGCTTTCTCAGATTTCATTGAATGTTTAGAGGATGAAATAAGATAAAAATAGCAATCATTTTTTTTTAGAATTTTTACCACTCAAACTTCTTAATTTCTCCTTGAATTTCTTTTGTGAAGACTATTTTCATAAAATTATTGTAATTCAACTTCATTGAGGAATTTTTTTGAAGAAATAATGATGGAAATTAGCAACCAAATTTGAGTACTAGTTCACAAATTACCTATGAATGAAACAAACTTTGTTGACAGATTCATATGACGTATTTTGATGATGACCTGTTGGAATTCTCTGTAAATCACTGCCTTCTCGTTTTCTTTCTATCGATAATTGATTCTTCTTACATCGTTCTTTCTAAACTTCCTTCGCTCTTCCCATCCTTTTCTCAGAAATTCACGACAAAGGAAATCTTTTCTTGCTAGTTCTTTTCTTATTGTGGGTGTCAAAATCAGCATATTTTTTTTAACATAATATAGTACGTTTGAATTTTAGAGTTCAATAAGAATAATAACGTGAGACGCTACATAACTAAGGATTATTGCTAGACAGATCAAAGGAAGTGTAGTTTCGCTTCAGATTATTAAAATCCAAATTGGTCATGGCAATGCTTAAGTCGCAAGAACGGCATTAACTCACCGGACAATCTCTTATCCTTCATATTACTCGACAATTAACTTAGTAGAAACTTCGATGCATCCAAGAGATGTATGTTTATATAGAAATCGATTTAATATGCTGTAGAAAAGAGAAATTTATAATACAGTTGAAGAAGAGAGTATGAAGGGAGAAAGAGACGGTATAAAGAGAGAAAAACAATTTCTCTTTAATAATGTGATATAGCAGTGAAATTAACAAGGGAAATCGTCGAAATAGTATCAAATTACTTCAAATTAAATGAACTATCAAAGAGGAATAAATAAAAGAAACATTATTCGCTTTTTTCTCTCTTCCTTTTGCATTCATTCATTTATTGTTGGCACTCTTTTTCTTATATTTTTTCATTTCAGGATTGGAAGATGGATGATCGGAAATTGAAAGAGCTGTATTAAGTTGAAAAAAAAATCATGTCATCTTCTAATTTTAGTATCTTTGGTACTCTTTTCTCTCAGGTAATTCCTTTATGTAAACAATTCTTTTTATACATTTGAAATTATCATAATTAAACTGAAATAATTATAGTTATGACTAAAGTTATCTAGTCAAATCGTCATTAGATGAAATTATGACAATATAGTAACAGCATTAACAGTTAGATAATCAAATATATAAAGAAAGATAATCATTACCATAGTTTGCTAATGGAAAAAAAGTATAACGAAACCTATTTAATAAAGGGTATAAAAAATTTCGCGAAATTTTTTTGGAATTTGAGTATGATATTAGAAAATTTGTTTTTTGTAAAAAATTCTTTTTTCAACATTCTCTTGAAATTATTTGGAAATTAAAACAGAGTAATGGAAATGAGACGTGCAGTCTCTCTCTTAATGAATCATAATTTTTAGAGCTCAAGAAAGCCAAAATGGACGAGTACAAAATATTGCTTGAATCAGAAGGCATCCTGTTTCGATATCAGTCCTGATGGTTCATTTTTTTTGATCGGTGAAGATAACGGTCAACTCGTTACCTTATGCATTTCGTGTGTCATTTGTTTCCTGTTGCTTACTTTGTGTATCATTCAATTGTATGGGGTAAAATGCGGACCTTGTATTTTTTTTCCACGCATATAGTCGAATGTTTAAACAAGATGTGGAAAGAGAGAGCTGTCTTCATCTGAGAAAATTAGAGAAGTAATGTTGTGTTTGCGGGAATGAAAAATGGAAGGAGTAAAGATACTCATACATGTGACAGAAATTATTAATACATACCGCTCATTTCAATTTTTCTTGCTGGATGATTAAATTTCTAATCTAGTTTCAGGCACATAATTCAGCATTTTATTGATTGAATTTTAAGGAATGGAGAATTGATAGTATCAGATACGTACAAACGGCATCAGTCCAGAATCACCGACATTGCATTTAATCCAACAGCCGATTTGATTGCTACTTGTTCCAATGAGAATAAAATTGAGCTGTCCTCATTTCGAGCAGATCTATCTAAATCAGGTCTAAATAAAGCAATAGTTTTGATTTTAAAACGATTTATTTTCACTCATTCATTTATTTTTCAATGAAATGTTGTTTTAAAATTCTCATCATTTAATTTTCGTTTTTGCTGTTTTACTCTGCCTTATCGATGAGTTCCAACAGTATTTGAATTTTCCAGTTAATAGTAAATCACTGATAGGATGGTAACAAGTAATCAAATATCTATTAGTAAAATACAAACAAAGAGGCTTTTTCATTATCATGATCGGTAAAGTGTTTTGAAGCAAGTTAAAGTAAATTCAGATAACCGGAGGATTAGTATGTCGATGAACGAACCTGTACGGGCGCTTACTTTTATGGAAGATTTAGCCAATCGTTCCAATATCTTGTTTTCCGGTACGGGCCGTCAAATCTGTGTTACCGATTGTTCTTCGGGCACTACATTTCGTATCTTGAAGGGTCATAAAGGTAAGGTTAAGAGAATATTGATAGCAATTTACACCGTTGAAAGAATTTAGATTAAAAAAAGAGGATTAAAATATGATCTAGAAGAAACTGATAGGTAAAGGACATTCAGTTAAAATTCGAGTTTAACTATAGGTATGGTAACAGCACTTTGCACTTGGGGTGGTTGTCTATTTGCTAGCTCATCGACTGATAAAACGATCCGTATTTGGGATACGCGTGTCATTGAAGCTGTTCGAGTATTTGATCCGCTTGTGAAATCTGGAGGTATATTTTTTGAGATGTACAGCTTTGGGAGACAAGAAAGCCATACAGAGCATATCACAGTTCACAATTCTCCTAATATCTTTTCACGTTTCCTTTGTCTTCATTAAATTCTTTGCTAAAAAGTTCTTAAATTGCTACTCTTTTTATTACTTAGCAGAAGTTATGATACGAAATGATTTTAGGGATCAAGTTAGAGATGTCTTCTATAATTCTTTATTTTCAAAAAAACCTTTTACATCTCTCTATGTTATAAATATGAATAGATTTTTTTGTGCTATCAAATCAAAAAAAAATTATTAATGATTTGTTAATTGTTAAGCGACAGGTGCTTTCCACGTGGATGGCAGCGGTCAAATTTTGGTACGTGGTGACGGAAGCGGTGAAGCGCATGTATATGATACGTCATCAGCCAAGAAAATTATAAGCAAGCGGATTACTACGCTACCAATTTCATGTCTTCGTATTGCTAATTCTCAACGATTTATGGCTGTTGCTGATGAAAAGAGGTAGTAAAATTTTAAAAGTTAACTTCAAATGAAAATTGGGAATATTGATCTGCCATTTCATGTTTTCCGATTATTATTTTTAAATTTTTCTTAACCGTAATTAATTTATAAGAATTTTGTTTTTTTTCTCAGAATCAGTCTATGTGATTTACGAGATGTGCTTCAAATACCTGAGTCATCATACGTTGCGAAGTGCTCCAGGAAATGCCTTGTGCTCAAGTTTGTTAGCATCATTTGATATTTTTTAACATAAATAAAGGGAAGCGTAAATGAAGCTTCAGTAGACACTATAGATCATTTAACTAATATATATTAGCTGGCTTTTGCTTCAAACTTAAACTTTGAATTATCATTCTAGAGATATCCTAATCAGCTTCAATCGTGCAAATTTAGATGGCATCCTATAAAACAGTTATTTGTAACGCTAGATAACGAAAGTGCCTTAAATTTGTGGCAATTGGAACAGGAAGAATCTTACACAACGGACGATTAAATTGAAATATTTGATTTTAATTACGCATGGCTGAACGCAGAAGACATCATTGATGTCGATATTGGAGGAGAAGCGATAAAGATTTCAAGCTTTGAACAATGAAATTGTGTTCATTGTTATGTATTACGACTTAATTGAGTCTTATTCAGTTGTCTGATGTACGTTGCTATAAAATAAAACATTGTGATTGGTTTTGTTCACTTTATAAAGATATGCCGAAATGGTGATCATCACCATATCAGAGGGGTCTAAAAGAACATTGCAAAACATACGGAAAACAAAAGTTCAACTAAACCAAAGTATTCAAACAAGCCAAAGATTATGAAGAATTTCCTTATATATCAGGCGATTAGATAGATGAACAGCTGTTTAATTGAAATGTGTATAACTAGCGACTCAAAAGTTTTTTTGCGCAACAACCGGCTTGTTCTTTTCAAAATTATCCTTATGATCTTTTTCAAAGTGTCGGAGATGCTCCTGAAAGCGGGCAAGGAAGAAGTGTAAATCAAGAAATAAGTTGCTGCATATACAAAAAATGGTAAAGTAGGAGTTATTTATAATTAATAAAATATAGCAGATAGCTCATCAATAATACTTTCGTAATAATGTTGTGTACTTATCTGATACATCATCCATGCGATATAGAGGAGGAAAAGTGGGAAATTCGTTACAAGCGCGAAGCATCTTTTAATGATGAATTTTTTTATTATAGCAATTAATCGTTCTGTTTGGATAACGGATTGAATGGATTGTGTGAACGAATTGCTAGAGGCTTGATTCCATATTTTCCTGCATTCATTTGTGTCGCTAATTATTTATCAATGTCGACCTTCTTTTCATTTTATTCACAAGTTCAAATCTTCAATGTAATATGATAAGTAGAAATTAAGAAAAGAAGAAAATAATTACTGTAAAAGGAAAAATCGTTGTATCTGCAAATTTCCAATACATCGCGATTGTTGGTTATCATCTGATCATCTAATATATACATAATGAAATTAATGATGATTTTTCCTCTTTTCCTTACATTTAATAGACTTCGCTAATTTTGCTTTATACAGTATCCGTGAAGGCTATTATTTCTATTAGAATTTATTTAATGGAAATTTTTTGTTAACTTGCAAACTTTTTAAAATGATTGATGGTTCACGACAGATAACTGATGTACTTGTTTTTTTGTCTGTAAATTTGGAGAGAATTAAAGACAGAATTTTTTGTCCTGATTGAAATTATATTAATGCATAATAATTTATGCATTAATATAATTATGTGTATATCAATCAGATGGAATACAATCTCATATTTTTGTAACACATAGTTGGTATTTCTTATATAGTCAAAATTTAACGAAAAAGAAAATAGTTTTCTTCAATCGTTCATATATATCATTACTTCAATGGGAATTTTCATTAATGGGAAAAATTGTCAAATATGTTAATAATTTTGTTAACAAATTTTAGAGAGGAATGTAACGCTATAAAAAGAAAGAAATGACTTTGTAGAAGGATCGTTTGTCATTTTTTAAGTTAACAATGTTTTTCGCTTTTTTTTAAAGGAAACTGCTTAAGTTTAGAAGTTTGGAGGAATTGTTGCTGCCAGCGCACGCAATGAATTTTTTTTATAGTTCGTAAATTGGAAAAAGAATTACCTTTTTTCAGAACAATTTTCTCTTTTCCTATATGCCTCTTTAGGACAGAAAATGATTACTTGCAACGAATGAATTTTATCATTCATCCTTTCTACCATTAATTATTTATTATTTGTTAGAAACTATCTTCTACCAATTTTTCATTAGAATTCATTTCATTAAGCTATTGTTTTTGCAAATATCATACATTTTAATTATTAATTTGAATAAATTAAATTAGTCAAATCATTTTTACTGCTTTACTTTATATTATATATTTAATTTTATTCAACTACACACGGATAAACTTTTTTCGAATGACGAAATTTTTATTCGAAAGCTTATATTTTGAAATTTCATTGAAATATGTTCACTTAATAGTTCACTTAAATATGTTTACTTAGAGAAAGATCACTTAAACACTTCAAATTCACTCAATAGTTCACTTAAATATGCATTTATTGATTTTATTTTGCATCTTCAACCACTGCTTCAACAAAATAGGAAAATATCTCTCATAAACATATGAGATATGATCACAACATGTCCTAAACAAATTTTTAATAACTTCTCATTGAACAAAATTTTTCATCTTCCCATCGCAATAGCTTACTGCTTTTTAACATATACTATTAGACAAGAGTAAATTACTTTTTCCTCATTCTCTATTGGCCTGCTTATTGCTCAAGGCAGAATAGGTCATCATTGCCAGCTAGTTGACCACTTACTTTTTTTTAATCCTTTAGTTAAAATAGATTTTGTGAATTAAAACTTTTTTGCATTGGTTGAATTTTTGATTGCTATATTGGTTTACAATGTTTTGTTTGTTTACATATGATAAATAGGTTTTAATTGTTTAAGTTTAATTGGCATAACTCAACAAACAACAACAACAACAACGAAATCTTCTTGCTTGCACACATTGCATCTGGCATTTACTTTTTTAAAAAATTAATTTCAAAAATCAATTTTTAATATAAATATCTCAACTTATGCAATAAATAAAAAATTTGGAAATTCTTATTTTCAACCAATTATTTTCAATTAATTTCAACTTTAAAAACAAATAAAGGAAGAAGAAATAGATTGTTCATCGATTTCTACAATCTCAAAATTAGCGTTTTGAATTTTGTTTAACTTATCATTGTGGAAAGTCTCATTGTCTTTTCTTCTTTTAACTCTCTTCAAGAATTTTAATTTTCTCATATCTTTTCTCATATCTCTTTTCTCATATCTTTCATATTTATTGCAATATTACAGAATTCTTGATAATATCCTCATCCATTTTCCAATATAACATATCGCGCTGATGAAATGTTGAAGAATATCCCTCAAAAAGAACTGTGGAAATTAGAAGCGTTACTTTAACCCTGTCCAAAAGGTAAAATTAAAATATTTTAAAGGAAAATTTGAAATGCAGTTAATAATCCTAAATCGATTTTTATACGAATAAGACTTCTTTAGTCATTACATTTCTTTCTGTTTTTTCTCTTATTTGTTAGCATAAAATCAACAAATTTTATTAATCTCTCTCTCTCTCTTTCTCTCTCTATATATATACTTTGAAGTAGTTCATGTCCTACGAAATTTTAAAAATTTTTAGAAGTTATTAGAAAAGAAAAGTGAAATGATTTTACTATCATTAATCAATAAATATTACTATCAAAAAGATTAAATTATAGAGAAACATGCGAAAGTAATACATAACTTGATTAATTCGCTCTATGGAAAAATATTTTGAAATATATTATATAACAGAATGTACCAAAAGTGAACACTAAAGTGACCACTGTTTTCATACAGTATGTATAACTTCAACAATAATCCATTATCAATTGTCAATTGGAACCATTTGTCACTTTCACTTATACGACAAACAGATCGTTAAGTACAGCCTTCTGAACATGGACGAATTGTTTTAGATGAATATGCTTCGATGATGATCCTAATTATTACAGCAATAAAATTTGCATTAATTTTTATAGGTATGGATCATTTTGTAAAATGTTCGAGGTAATATTTTATGCTATATTCTCCGCTGTAATCTGTTTTTTTTAAATCTTAAAGAAGAAGAAGACGGAATGGATGGGAATAGAAAAGGAGGAATTAAATTGGATGAAATGTTTAAGTTGAAGAATACTAATTATCCTTTCCCTTCAACACGTTTCATTTACATTCTTCCCTTGAAATTTAAATTCCTCTTTTCCTTTACATTCTTTTCTTATCTATAAAATTTGTTTAAAAAAAATATATATGTGTTAGTACTGCAAAAGCTTGACTTGGAAAATTTTCCATCTAAACAGTGAAGAAAACTCCTTAATGTAATAAATAATTCTATGATAACAAATTTATACATTCAGCATAACGGAAATAATAAAATAGGCGACGTATTGGATAAGGAAATTAAATAATTACCACTCATTGCTTCCTACTTCCTTTATCACGTAATACAATTAGCAGTTGATAATATATCAATCACCATCAAAATATCAGCTATTATCAACAAAATTCATATCCTATGTAGTTATAATTTGTTATCATTGATATATCATTGATACAAAAGCGCATTGCAATAATATATTTTGATTAATATAGTTACAAAAAAAAGATTGTGTACATACAAGAAAAATAAATTATGACAATTTATCAAAAAATTATTAGTTTTAAATAGAATTCAATCGAAAAGGAAGAAGCTATCTGTCAATATGGATTAATCTGTCAATATGAATTAATGCGGTACGATTGAAGTTATGCTTCTATGCGTTATTGACCAGCGACCATATCAATTCCTCTCTTTCTCTCTTTCTTACTTTACTTTTTCATTTTTTTTTACTATCACCTTTTGATTTTTCACTATAAACATATTTCTTCTGCAAACAATCTAATCACCATATTCCAAAGCAATAGTGATAAAGCAAATCATAAAGTATCAATGATAAAGCATCTAATTATCTTATTCCAAAACAATCGTGTACGTTATAGTCATTGTTGTATCGTTTAATGATGTCATGTTATCATAGAATGTATAAGCATGCTATACATTCTATGATAATATATATTTGAAGCTTGCACAAAGCATGTGTAATTTTGATTCAATGTGAAGCAAATATTTTCTAAAGCAGCACTGATCTACAAAATATGCAAATTTTCATAGTTTAACATTGGATTTGTCACTATCAGAATATTTTTTGATAGAATAAAAACTCAAACTTAATCGCAAACGCATACGTTGGCTATAACTTCTTAAAAGAAATCCAAAAATGATGAAATCATTTGTTACTAATTATTTTGAGATTATGAATAATTCTCAATTAGTCATTAATTTATTTATTTGGTTCCATATTGCAGGTTACAGTTTCATATACATCATACCACATATTTCTATAATAATTTTTCCTTTTTTCGATTGTTACCAATCTTTGTATTCACATAAATAAGAAAATGATAACCTATTTTAAATGAAATTAGCATGCTTATGTTGTAGAAATTACCACCGCCATAATTTCTTCATAAGTATTTAATCGATTTAATTTTTAAATCTTAAATATCAGATTTAAACTTTAATGAGAAATATATTTGTTGATACAACGCGTGTTGTTAAAATAAATTATTAAAAGATATTTTAAGATATTTTCCAATCTTAGCGTTTAGGTAATTCTCAGTTTTTTGCAAAGATGAACAGTAATAACTGCCTGGATATAAATGAAGAATTATGGCGGAATAATCGTGATTGGAGCACTCAGTCATCTACCATATTCATCTTCATTATTTTTTATGCAACAATTATCCTAATTGGTATTGTGGGTAATTCATGCGTCATATTGGCGATATCCAGGACTAGGTATCCCTTCAACCATTTCTCGATAATGATCTATCTATTTGAAAATTTTCATATCAGTTTCAAAGAAAATGTCTCATATGGAACAAATTACCAACACTACAAATGTAAAATATCTAATCTTATCAAAAAGACAGTGTCAACTGCAAAAAAATATTATGTAGTATGAAATTCTGTCTATCACATAATTTATTACATATATGAAATGACCAAATTAAAATTTTAGCAGTTAGAAATCTTAGCACACACATCGATATTTCTGCAAGGAAGAATAACATTTCCTAACAAATAATTGAACATTCGCAACATACAGCTTACTATTATAATATTGGCCAAGATAATTTAATGTCCAAGATAATTATTACTACAGTACTTTTATGAATTTTTTTGGATCTAAAACTGCAAAATGATTTTAAGTGCACTTTGAGTGACTAGTTGAACGCAAGGATAATTTTATTATTTGAAAATATGATAGAGCTTCGAGATAGGTGCGGTTTACTGTACTTGGAATTAGTTGACATGGGCATGAAGTATTAATGATTAATTGCAGTCATAATAACAAAACAATACCTGTAGTTATTGTGGAGAGAAAGGTAAGCTTGAAAAAGTGTCGATAGTTCCATCTAATTATCCAAGAATGATAGTTACACATTTCATTATCAATAAATTAATCAGACCTCAACTACGATGCAATGTTTCAGAACGCTACAAACAATACCCAATATGTTCATTTTTTCGTTGAGCTGTTCCGATCTTGTTGTATGCTTTACTTCAGCGACAATAACGCCAATTGCAGCATTCAAAAAGAAATGGATCTTTGGTGCTGTGCTGTGTTCGATAGCACCATTTATTGCTGCTAGTTTCATTTGTTTTTCTTCTAAAAATTCTGCTTCTTCTTTTCATCGTTTATTTTGTCGAAGTAATTAGAAATTTTGATTATTATCAGAACTGGGAAAAGGTTGGCACGAAAACAATGATAGCTTTCTTACATTGCAACATAATGAATTATATGAAAACTTTAAAAGTGAAATAAAATTGATTTCAGGTAAACAGGTTTAAAATTAGGAAAAAACTTTCATTGAACACTTATTTATTAAAAATTCCTTTTTCTACAGTATACTTCTGCACGTTTTTCATTTTCTATGAGATTTTCCTTTGACTTTTTCAACAAAACCATTTTTTCAACAGAATATCTTTTTTTGAGCAATTACATTTTTATTAATAAGAAATAATTTTAAAGTATCGATGAGTATAGTTTGAATAATAAGTATAGTTTGGATATTGTCAGAAGCCTCAATAATTTCTTTGTCCTAATTGGTTTCATAAAATTTAAATAAAATATGAATATGGCTATGTGTTTGAAAATTGGAAATTGAAAAGGATGTGAGCCTTCAGGGTGCTTCGTTGTGCTTCTCCACGTTCACCCTCTCAGCAATCTCAGTGGATCGTTTTTTGCTTATTTATTTTCCGACCAGAAAAGCTTTATCCCGACTACAAGCAATAATCGTAATTATGGTCAGTGAGTTGCTATAAATTTCCTTTTTCTTTTCAGCTTTTAATAAATTAAATTGTTAGCTTATAGTTTGTTAGTGAAAGATTGTTAGAGATAAGTTGTGAAATTATTAAATTTATTCGATTAATAAATATTAACATATCAATAAATCAAACTATTATCAAATCGTTAATTGTTAAATTTATTATCAAAAAAAAAATGATACATTAAATAAACAATAATTTTCGATGTAAACAAATTTATTATCTTCTTGAATGCAATTAGTAATTTATAATAAAACAAAAGATCACATAAAATTCATAATTTCCATGCCCACATTGAAATTTCCAATTATTTTCCATTTCTCTAAAATTCTTTTCTAAATTTCAAAACTTTTCAGAGACTTTCATATTAAAAAATAGCAATAATTATATGTAAAAAATACATATCATTTGCATATTTCACTCAAATAAATTTCAAATTAATATCTTACCAGGTAAGTAAAATTTGCAGGTAATATGCATATTATCTACTTCATTATCGGCACCAGTAATATTCAAGCAACGACTTAAAAGAATTGGTAATTATTGTGGCCAATTCTGCACAGAAGAATGGGGTATTGATCAAAGCGGTAGACGAGTTTATGGGTCCATAATGCTTAGTGTACAATTCATTGTACCTTTGGTGATTATCACTTTTTGTTACACCGCCATCTCCGTCAAACTAGGAAAGGTAATGGAAAATAAAAAAAATTTTCAATTAATTGGTTTTGTCGTTTGATTGCAATTTAGATAAAATAACGTATATCTGCGAACGTTTCACTGAAAAGATTGTGCCATAAAATTAAATCTTGTTTTTACAGTTATTTTATGAAATTTCATTCTCATATCGATGACTTTATTGTCAACATAATTCATTGTTGCTTACAGCAGCAATGAAGAGGTGATTGCAAAAAGGATGCAAATAACTCGAAATTTATATTTTTGCATAAAAATATATTCATTTCTAAAAGCTACAGATTGCAATTGCTTACGAATGACATATAAAATGAAAAAGATATAAAATAATTAAAATATTATAGAGTATAATACATAAAAGTCGGCAACAGCATAATGAATGGCAATTAGGAATGACCGATCAGGCTTGTTTATATTTTATTTACTATTCAAGAAAATACATTTCAAAAAGAAATTTTGGTAGGAAAAACTACTTAAAAAGCTTTTTTCATTTATATTAAATTATTGTACAAATGAAATTTTAAATGTATCTTCTGATAATAGAATGGTTAGGCCTGGCTTACATATTAGCAACTATGAATATTTGTTTTTAACAAAGGAATGATTATTGTTGGGATATTCCACATCATAAAACTATTTTTTCATCTTCATTGAGGGTATTTTTAAATGTAGATTTATTGGAATTAAGCTAGTGAATGTCAATTTCACATTACAATCGTTTTTTTCAAGCTCATTATTGCTTTGATAAGTTGAGGAAAGGAAAGGAAGAGATAACAGCAAGGCATGGCTTCCACTTAATTTCCTCTTACTTATTAAGCCTTAAATGGAATGCTTTCATGTGTAAAAACTTTAGGCAAGGGCAATTAAATCAATATATAATATAATATATGACATATGGTATTTTCAGCAACGAGCGGCCATAAAACGTAGACAACGAACAAATCGTATGCTAATTGGAATGGTTGTTGCATTTTCTGCAAGCTGGTTCTTCAGTGTATTATTTAATGTTCTTAGGGACTACGATTGCTTACCAGAATGGTGCCAAGATCAAGAATATTTTTTTGGAATTGCAACGCATTGCATTGCTATGTCTTCAACTGTCAGTGTGTTTCTATTGGTGTTGCAGACGAAAAGATTTTTGATTGTTGAATGAAATATTGGATGAAATTGCACTATCTAAATTATCTGATTGGATTATCGAATTTAGTGATATTTTAGACTCTGTGAAAATTGCTAAAGTCATAAACTGCTTATTCTTACAGCTGTTTAAAAATATTTTAATTTTACAGGTATGGAATCCATTGCTTTATGCAGCTTTGAATTTGCAATTACGTGCTGCTTTTCTGCAATTATTGCCTGAATGTGTAAGACAACGAGAAATGCGAAAAAATAATGTTCATAATTGTAAGCCATTGCTTCAGTCGCGGAATATTTTGCGGAATGATTTCACAAAAAGTAAGGTACTGAGCTGTGACTGCAAGAGAAGGTAATTTAGTACTTCCATACATCGTAATGATAGTTATAGTGTGGTTTAAGGATCGAATAACAGAAATAATCGGATTATCACTACGATGGTAAACTATTATCAATCTATATAAAAGCGATTCGATAAATAGGGTCAACATTCAAGCAACAAGCATTGCGATCGGCGCTAAATGATTATCGGCTGACAAGCAAATCGTTGGAATTGTGCTTCTTTTGTTCAATAGCCTTAACCAGAAATAAATATTTATTAGGCATGCAATAGCCTAATTTAGCATACTCTTCAGATTTTAAACTATTCGAGTTATTCCAGAAGTTTCTAGAAGCATTGCGGCAAATCAAGACATGTGATATACGTTTTATTCTGTTAATGATGTAGATGAAATGGCACGAAGAGCAAGCAGATATCAGTCTTTGGTATCAGGGTTCAGATATGGATGAATGTCGAGGAGAGAGAGAGAGTTGCTGAACAGATTTAGTTTCCGAATTGTGCTTTTCAATATAATTTTGTAACTTAAGAAGACATCAAAATATCTGATCCGAATTGCCTTTTAACTAAAATAAATTATTTGTTGATGCAGTATAAGGCATTGTAGGAATGCTCGAGAACGAGATCATCGTATTGATTTTCATATCACCTTTTTTAACTCTTCATCATATTTTCTTTTTGTCTTTCAACAATTTTTAATGTCTGCTGTAACACAACAATACCTCGTTTACCTTAAATTCAGACAGATAACTTGTCTAATTTTTAGTGAAGCGAAATATCTCTTTTTTGCAATACCTGGTGCTGTTTTTCACTCCGTAACTTTTCATAGCTATAAAACTGTTATTTGTTAATTTCTAAATTTTATTAAAAAAATTATTATTTTTCTTATCACTTAAATATTATGAAATTATCTTTTGATTTAGCTAATTGTACAATTGAATCTGAGCTTACGCTTAATGACGAAATGAATTCTTATGAAATGAAAGATACATTGGAACTTTTTAGACAAATCATTCTTCTCATCAAATGCTATCACTAACAGTAAATTTTTTTTGATTTACAAAATATATATGTAAATGATAGGTGGCATGGCATGGCTATAAATTTTCAACATCGCATTACGAAGGGATTGAAGGCTTTGTTGAATTTGCAATATAATGTAAGAAACGAGTGAGAAACAATTAGAAAAGATGTCTGTAAAAAATATAATTGATAAATAAAATTCTTCTATAACAAAATGTGTTGTACTGTTTTTGTATTTGTAGTTTGATCTCCCATTTTCGAATCATTTTCTCATGTTGGTTTCGGGTCAGGTTTCGGGCCAAGATTACGAGTTGTTTTAACTTAGTTTTTCTTCGGCGACCAATAACTGAACTTGGAGTGCAAAATTAATCGAGTTACAAATAAAATATGAGGGAGTAATTGTATGAAAGAATCGATTCATCGTGTTGATAATTTTCCATACCTTTTTTCCTTCATTCAAACTTAATATTTTATTTGAATTCCAAAAATTATCCTTTTATAAATGTAAGTAGAATATTAATTATGGATGGTAAATTTGCCTAAAATGTGATAAATTAAAAACTTTAAGAATCTCAACAGCATACCTCAAATTTACAACTATTCCCCAATAATTTACCTCAGATTCATAACTGTTTCCAGTAACTATTATATCAAATTCACGAAATTGCCGACTATGCAAATATTTCAGCAGCACCAAACACTGGTAGATTCTATCACAACAATCGTGAACTTCAAATTTACAGTTTTAAAAAGATATCGATCGGTCTGGTACCAATCAAGAGACATATTTTGTACAAGTCAGTGTTTCGCACATGCACATCATATCTGTCTATCTATATATATGATTATGGAAATAATATTATTATGAAGTTTTGTAATGNAAGTTTTGTAATGCATAATGCTAGGGGAAAGATGAGAAAAATTGCAATGAATGGAATGAATGAATTGAATTAAAAATGGACTAGTATGCGTGCTGCATGCTGCGTGCTGCATGCTATATTCTGCGTTTATTGTATAATTTATACTGCGAAAAAAAAGAAACTGCGGATAATAAGTAATGCCTAAGGCATTCGAATAAAAATCTTCTTTATCAAATTAGAGCCATTATTAACAACATATGTTTGCCTAAAATTCAAGATAAATTCAAATGTTAGAAATAGACGACAATTTTGCATTTCAAAATTCAATGGCATCTTTTCTTCCCAATCTTTTCTCTCTTAATTCTTTTTATTTTCTATTTACGAAATCAATAAAGACAAAAAAATTCTTATTAAACTTTATATCATAAATGTTCGGCTTCTTAAAAAGAACACCAATTTATTAGAGCCCACGCATTTTCACCATTGAATCATCGACATCATAAAAAGTATGAAAGTATTTTCATGTATTTATCATACTTATCATTTCCTTATCATTTTCCTTTCCAAATTAATTAATTCAATTTTATTGGACAGCCTCTTTGAAATTGTGCCTATCTTGTTAGAAAAAAATCAAATGAGTCATCTTTTGTTTAAAAATAGGCCATATACTGCAATAAATGGTTCTATATCATATCGATAAATAAGCAAATCTCCTGACAAAGATGTGGCAACATATTTAATTATAGCAATTTTTAAAATTGATCAAAATTCTTCGGAATATTCCAACTGTTATACTTCAATGATAACAATCACTATAGCTTAACTGATTATTTGTTGACTGATTGATTAGAAATATTTTGCCAACTGATCCATCCACTGAACTCAAGCATTAAAAAAATTAGAATCGTAGTTTTGATTGAGAAACAGTGATAACACATGTCCAGTTTAAGGTTATTAAAATTAAATTCCGGACAACATTTCATAGTGAAGTGAACAAATCAAACCGGTAGGCTTGATGATCATTTCATTTTCAAATCTATTGCAATAACTCCGCTGTTGAGTTTGCTGAGTTGATACTATCGTAATAATCAAAATCATTGCTTTCTGCAATCGAACTCTCAGAACAAATCTGTTCGAGACAAAAATCGATCGCTATCCTTATCCGATCCTTTTCAAATATAATATTTGTTGATTTTTGAGCAAAATCAAACAAAATTGGCATTTTTATACCTGAAAAGGAATAAATATATTTAAAATATATCTAAATTCTCCAAAAATGATGTGTTATGAAGCTTTTATCATAAAAATGCTATTCTAATAAATATCGCATAAAATAAATTCTTCAACTGAAAAGTTTGTGATAAGAGTATGATCAACGTATAACACATTTAAAGACTCAAAAAAATCGTTATCAATTTTACCGTCACTAAGTTTCCTTGCAACATCACTGGCAATTAATAATTCATTAAGAGCGCTGACGAGGAATTCCAGACTAGTTTCATCAATGCCATCGACTAAACTTATCACATCGAAAATTCTAAATTTATCGACACGCATATCCGATGTTAAAGAATAGTTTTGGAAATTGCTTCTCTCTATTTTCAATTCGGCCATCATACCAGATGTCATGAAATGATGCGTACGCTCACCTTGCTGTAATTCGAAAGAGAATAAACTCATACTTTGTAAAGTTTAAAGCATATCTATTGCATTTTCCTTCATCTTATAAATGTAAACAATTATTCTTTAATGATGTTACTCTCTCTCTCTCTCTTTCTCTCTAAAATTTGATGAAGTTAATTAAACAAGAATTTATGAAAAAGTTATAATAAGAGAGTAAGTTAAGGAACAATTTTAGAAACTTACTTGCACAAATGCATCCACTTGACTCCAAATCACAATTATTCCTTTATTCTGTTCAAAGTGAACTCTCGGATAAGTGGTTGTATGTGATTTAATTTGCACCATACCATTCGGATAACGATCACTTAAAGCTGAAACGTAGATCTATACTTGCTGGAAAAATACCATTTCAAGTTGATTATGAAAAGTGAAACTAAGAGAAGATGAAATTTTGAATTTTAAATGTTCTCAATTAAGGCAATTATAAATATAACTGAACTACTGACCACAGCACGAAAAACCTAACAGAGGAACACGTTTAGAACACATTAGAAATGTAAGTTTAGGTAATAGTGAACATCTCAGAATGAAGTAGAAAATTACTGATATCATTAACTTTGACCTGAAGATATTCCAAATATCAGATCAATGAAAATCATAATTACTAGGAAACAAACTTACCGGGAAACAAAGTACCAGCACAAACATCCTCAGTGCCACATTTGGTCCTTAAATAACCTTCCAAAAGTGTATTTTTCATGCTTTGTTCACTTATTTCATAATTAAAATTCTGGTATTGATCCATCCAATAAAGTAAGCTGGCCAGTGTATAATTGGACATTGTAAATTCAAGCATTGCCTGATTTTCCGACTCATCCGGAGTATCCACTGTTAGTGGTGCTGATGGAAAGGGTAATCGGAAATCGTTGAGCCTATTAAGACCTGAATGAAATTACTGAAGTATAAAATCTGTACGATTGATAAAAACTTGTAAAATTTTAATTTAACTCTAAACATTCAAATAAATTCAAGCTTTAATACAATTCAAAATTTGATCCTAATCATCATTGACTTCTTTAACTTACCCTGTTTTACAATACTGAATACATTGCCTCGATGCTTCAGTTCAATTGCATTGGGTAAATATTGTATTTGACTAATGAAGCCATAATTCAGGTAATAGTGACTAAACAACTTTGCACTCATCGGAGTGTTCATAAGACGATTTGAAATAATTGGCACAAGTTCAATATTGAAACTTGAACATATTATCTAAAATTTCCCTTATTTAAATGTTTCAAATATATTCAATTTTAGATTCATTTAGGATACTTTATCAATTTTCTTTGTCTAAAACAATATTTAAGATAAAAATTTTACATTTAATATTCATATATATAAGATTGAAAATTTTTGATGAAACTAACCAATTCGATTCTTTCTTTGATGAAACGATCAATCTGAGGATAATAATTGACCAAAAGTAAAGGATCTGTAGCACTGAGATTCATCACAACACTGCCTGGTAAGAATGAACATTTTTGTAGATCGGTCCGAAGATGGCCATTATGATTGATAATTGCCACAAAAAACGATTTCACTTTTGCGCTGCAATTAACCAATTTTCATTTTTAAAGCTATCATAAGATTTATGGAATTTAATTGAATTCTTTATGCAATATTCTGAGCTAATTTTTGACAACCATTCTTTTTTTCTACATGATAATAGTTATCAGATAACAGAAAATTATCAGCAATTTATTTTATGTGAAAAAAGTAATAAGTTAAAAGATGATTAAATTTCGTAAATAAATGTGAACTAATTAATCCTTTTATAACTCTTCTCAATTCATAATTAACTTTTTTATTTAAATAAGTAATCAAAAAAAGAAAAATAAATTTTATATTTCGTTTAAGGATATTTGCTAATTGTTATTGTTTCAGAAAGAATGATTGTTGTAATAAAATTCAAGCTATTAAAATGTTTCCACTAAGAAAATAAATTTAAAAAATTAACAGCAATTTATGAAATCCAAAAACTTCGAATTCATGAACTTTCTGAATGAGTCTCAGAATTTTTTATACCTGTCAATTTGAAGTATCGCGGATCCATAAACATCACCAGCAGGAGTGGTAACTTTGAAAGCTATATCAATTGAAAGGTTCAAATAAGAGCCCTAAAAAATTTTTTGTCTTCATTTTAGAAATCTATGCAAAGCCAATTTTTTTTAATTTCTGCAATTGTTAATAGTAAATTAGCTTATATATTGTGTAGGAAGCTAATAGGAATTAATATTATATTAATTACTTGTATACTTGATTGCATAATTTACAAAGGCAATTTTTGAAAGAGGAAAACAATTTGTCCAATGATTCAGAAAAATCTTCCAAGAAAAAATTTACCATCCAAATGATACCCTGCTCAGGGACAACGAACAATCGTGATTGGAATATTTTCGAATCATGACCAATAACTTTCGTTGATAAGAGACTAAATGTTACCTAAAACTTTTCTAATATCTCCAAATTAAGAGGAATAAAATCATAACAAATGGATGAAAGCAAGTTGCGGATGCAAAATGAACTTGTACAAATTGCGCTCACTACTATTGATGCGCAAAGTTGATCAATATAAAGGTAAGATATGAACTTTCAAATATAATAATTAATAATTTTTTAATTTGGTTTAGCTTTCTAATCATCCTTGCACTTTCAATTTTTTTTGTGAGAGATTCAGAGAATAATTCAGCAAATTTGATTAATCAAATAATAGAAGCAGAATTTAGAATTTAATTGAAATGAGGACAAATGATTTTACTGAAGACCTCGTTTGTAAGTGGTGCAGAAAAATTGAAAATAGTTTTGCCATGATGCATGAACCTATTGACGCGTTCTTTTAAATAATCAGCCAATAAATCCAAAGCTCTCTGATTGATTCGCGTGACAAAACCTGGATATGTGTCTGATTGCGTGAAGAAGCTATCTGAAAATAATCACATTTAAAAATTGTTAATTTATCACTCCATTCCACTTCTTCACTTCATTTTGTTTTTCAAAGGTCGCCGCCATAAGTTGACCAAAAGACTTTCGCACATGATGAATTTTACACATGATGCTTTTTGCTCATCCATAATTAATTTAACACAGATCTCGAATAAATGCTGCTGTTGGGTCATCGCTGCCATCAGAAAGTACCGCTGGAGCAACAAGGAAAACAAGAATTTGAATTTGCTTGTACCGTAGTGATATCTGGAACAAATTTGCCACCTCTGATCTATTATCCATTAACAACAAAACTATGGACTTAATTCATTTAGAAATGAAGAAATTAGAGGGAAAATTCTGATGACAGCCATTAAAAATGCCATATTTGGTCATTACCTCTGCAAACAAAAAATATTGAAAAGATTTCATCTCTCTCTCCCTCTTTTTCCTTATTTCGCTTTTTAAAAAGGCGATGATGATTGTTATGCGACAATTTGTGTCAACAAGTTTAAATAAAAAAATATACCGCGTTTATCATGAAAAAAATGAAATTTTCTAAAAATTAATTGGAAAGAAAAGGGCAAAACACCGCACTTATCACGAGAACGAAATTTTTTAATTGGAAAGAAAACTTACTCTCCAAAGAGTGTGAATTTTTGATGGCACACAATTGCAATGAAACAATAATTAACTGTAAAATCATTTTGCTTCTTCAGCCGTAGTAAGGAGAAAAGGCCGAAAAGCGTCACTCACTCCTTTTGTTTTTTGTAATCCAGGATCTTTTTACAGGATTTAGAAGGCGATAATGTTAGTAGTGGTAACAGTTGATAATGATATTAGCGATGTTGATGATGATGATGAATAACAATACTACAATTGAATCCTTGATAATTCAGCAATTGTGATGGCGAAGACGATAATGATTAAGATGAATAATAATAGTGAAAATGAAAATAGAATTGGATTATTGCTGTTAATTAGATGCAATCTGTTTCTCTAGAAATCAATCAATCGAGCAGAGAAATTAGCATAGAAATAGAAATAATCCGCCAAGCGATATTAGCATTCAACAAGCTTTTGACGCTTACTAAATAAACCGCCACGCTGAAATAAATATTTAACAAAATCATCCGATCAGAGAAGAACGATAAAGAATAACATTGTGTATTCTCTTTCTAGAGATCTAAACTTTCAAACAAATACACTTTTGAGGAATTATTTTGTCTCCAAAGAACAATTACTCAAGCGAAAGTTTCACAAAACACATCGGTAAAATAGAAGTGAAGAAAATAAATGCAATCATATTGATGAATTATTGAAGATGATGATATCCCGAAGAAGCATTCAGTTAGTTTTCACCTTTTACTACTCCTTTTTTTATCCAAAGGGATTGCAGGAAAAACCGGAAATTTGAAATATTTCATAACTATATAAGTGATAAAAATTTTCCTGATCCTATTAATGTTTCCTGTGACGTTTGTTCAGATAGCGAATTTTTTGAAGACCTTAGGAAGCTAATTATTGTATTATTTGTTAAAAAATAAGGCCTGATTGCTGTATAAAATGAATTTCGTAAAATCACAGCCTAAAACAAATATTAAAAACAATATTTTGTTTGAATAATAAAATAGATTGGAATTCGGTTTTAAGTTGAAATAATTATTTGCATATAATTTAAAACAAATAGATGATAGCTACAGATCTTTCAGTAAAATCTCATCAATTTACGATATGTCATAATATTAAGGAAAAAGTTTCCCGAAATTAAAACGATAATTTCAACAGAATTACAGGTAGCAGTAAAGCACTTCAAAATAAGATAAGGATTAACTCAAATAACGAATTTTATCATTTACAAAAAAGGTTTATAACTTTCATTTTGATATTCCTCCAATGAATCGCTCCTACGTATTTTTAATCTCTCGCGTAAAAATACGTCAAAATATAGAGGAAGATTTGACGAAAATTATGATGTTAAAGGTCATTAAATTTTATGATCCTTCGAAATTCAAACGTTCACAGTCCTTTATGGTTCTTTGAAATTCCCTAATAAAGGCTTCTTTTCATATTTTTCGTTCTATTATTCTTGCCGACTTAATTCTTCTGTTTTGCTCAACTTACTCATTTCTTAAGTCAATTTATTTTCAAGTTTATAAACGGTCAGAAAGATCAACAAAATGGACATATTCCAAAGGAACGATCACGTGACAAAATTCAGAATAATCAATGAATTATAACTTTTACTAATTTTTTAACAGAATTTTTTCATCTTTCATCATCTTCGGTTTTTAACTTATAAATGAAGATAATGCCCATATTAATAAACACTGATCTAAATAATTTGCATTTTTGTACTACGCAGGGAATAAATGTGATTCGGTGATTCAGTTTGAGTTTCTGAAGTTCAATAAGCGAGAATTGGTCAACTATGATATATAGCGTCTTCTTAATTGTAAGATTGAAATAAATAACAATAGATTATTAAAACTAAATGACATCAAAACAATTATAAAGTTTTGATATAGAAGTTAATATTATTTGACCAAGCATGGAGGAATTTAAAAATTTTTTAAAGCATTTAAAATTCAATTGCTGGAAATGAAAAATTCAACAGCCCATTGAAGAAACTATGTAGAAGATCACGAATTAATGAATCTCTGAATCTGTAACAATGTTTACTCTCGAGTACTTACGTTCAACAAGGTTAAATATTGATATGCAATCTGTAACAAGCTTGTATAACGATATTCAAAGATTTTTGTTCTAGTTTAATCCAAACAGAAGCGATTTACCGATCCAACACTGCCAAAAGGGAAGTCGGAAGTAATCAGCACTTTGAAAAATAAAAGAAAAAAATCTTATTCTTCTCATCTTCGAAAAAACAGGTTCAAATGCCTTCATGGTAAATAATCAGCAAACAAGATTTTGAGCTCTTATTGTTGATTATGGCGCTATTTATTATGCCATCTATTTTTTTCACTAAAATTTTATCCCTTTCCTTTTACCTTTCCTTTCCTTTCCCTCTCCCTAAGAAAGACAAATATAAATCGTTTTGTTTTACAATTCTTTTTCCCTTCATTTAAAAAAAGAGTTCTTTAAGGGAAATTGTTAAAGCAATTCCTTTTAAAAAACCTTTTCACAGTAATTTGAAATAAATGAAAAGCTGTCAGAAATACAACTATCGAAATGCAATTTCGTATGGAAATTCATAGATTCATTAAAGATAAAACGCAATAGTTCCTTCATGCCACATTCAATTCACTTATATTCACTCTATTTCTGTCACAATTAATAACATATATATTTATGATTTGACTTCCAATAACGTCCGTGAAATCATTCAATCTGTAAACAATACTTCTTATGATATTTTGTCACTTTTTTTCCACAAAAGATTTATATAAATTTTGTCCTAAATTAATATATTTTTTTTCGCGATGATAATGAAGAAAAAGAGGACTGATAAGACATTTGAGTTGGGATTGATCCCATTATACAGAACAAATGGTAAAAGAATTTATCATTTTCATTTATTCACAAATGTTAAGATATTTAAGCAAGTTAGAGATACCAAAACTATTTCCTGCTTCTGAATATAATCCGACATTGGATAACATGTAAGTAAAAATATATAACACGTATAGGTGATTTACACGTGTCGCTTAATGAACAAAATATTGTCGACCCGTGGGAGCGTGGATGAAAATGAAAGGTTGAATGGATGAATGAAACAAAACGAGAAAGTTACTGTTTTAAAGTAAAAAAGGATCAAACGATAATAATGGAAGAATGGAATTGTAGCGGTAAGATCAGTGCAGCGTAACGTTCGTATTCAAGCAGTAGAATGTCTGGAAATGTACTGCAATCACCATTAGTAAAATGGCCGATAAAGAGATTGATAAAATAGGTAGAGAGATGGAGATGGGATAAGTTGAGATGAGTAGGAAAGTACTTCTTCACTCGTTTTGCTATCGCTCTTCATAAAACCGGATGCCCAGCGGCTGGCAGCTCAAAACAGGCAAAACAGGCAAACGATAGTGGTATAGGAGAGATGTTAGTGGAAGCAGTGGTTGCGGCATAGTATAGTGGTAATTGTTGTAGTTACAGTTGTGATCTTCATGAATCAATGGTATCGTATAAATACTTTTCATGAAAGAAAAAAGTTACTTTTTGAAATCCTAGCAAAAAGAAAATGAAATATATTTCAAGACCGATTTGTTCACTTGTCTCTCAAATGAAAGTTTTCTTATATCAATCAGAAATAAGCATATGAATTTGTTAAATATATTTGAATGGGAAGAAGGATACAAGATTATTGTTATCAATTATCATTATTGGCAAAATAATATTTTGATAACAATTCCATGCCTTTATTTTTAATCTTCAACTACCTTATTTAAATGAAAGTTTCTAAAATCAAAAAATTTCTTTCACTTCAATATGCTTCTGCAACTTTTTGTCTTATTTTTAAGGCTCTGTCTTAATAGGTATTCAAAAAAACGAAATTAGCAGTATATAAGAAGAGAAAAGATAATTTTAGCAATGAAAATGTCACGGGTCATTTATTTGAGAGTAACAGCGCTACCTTTTAAAACAATTTGATTAGAATACTCTGTTCAAGTTTGATTACTACAATTCTTCTCTTTTCTGTCATTTTGAGTTCTCTTATTTTCTACTAAGGTGCGTAAAGATATTCCTATTCATTTTATCCACTCTGAGATCTATTTCTTGTGTATCATTTGCTTTATAATCTTCTGCAACATCTTAATGGATGACCCGAAAAATGATCATATCCGACCATCTCATAAATACTCATCACTTTTGGCATAATTGCTTAAAAATATTGGCTTTTTTGCAATTGAATTATTTCAGGTTCTTTTTACCTTTTCAGAAATATTCTTTCCCTTTGGTTCCATCTAAATATTTTTAAAAGTATATGTGATAAGAGAGAAAGAAATCAGTAAATGTAGTAAATATAAGTGATAAAGAAGAGGTATTAATGATCGGACATTGTCGAATCATTTCAAATTACACAATGCATTGTATAACGCAGTGTTTATGGATTTATTTAGAAAACCTAACCAGATTTATAGCCAATAAAGGTAGTGCAATTATTGCAAATCCGGTTTTCTCAATCGATCCTTTTATATTCTGTCCCATTACATCGAATTGCTTTACTATGCCTATTTAGTTTCACTCGTTGCGCCTTTATATTCTTTAAAAGCTCCACTTTCTTTACGGATATTCCTTCCTATTCACTGATTTAACCATATTTGAGAAATCATTTATTTCATTTTATGGATGTTACATCTCTTTCACAAAATCTTCAATTTTTATGAAAGTGAAATCCTCAAGTTTGAAATTTTGAATAAATGCGAAATTTAAATTTGAATAATTTCCCTAAATATAAACAACTAAAACTGAAATTGTAAAAAAATCAAGAAGCATAAAAGTTCAAGAATTATTGCGCATAAATTTGAATAAATTTTCAAGTACTGAAATAGCGATATAAATGCTATCTTTATTCTTTACAACAAACCCTTTCACAAAGTGGATAAATCAAAAAATTACAGCTTGTAATACAATCACAGATATATTAATATAATTAGAGAGCATAACCAAAATCTTGACATAATTTATAAAATTGAGATTATGGGCCATTTTTTCAAAGAGAAACTTTTTAAATTACGAAATTCTTATGAAACCTAACTTATCTTGAAAAAGTAATTTTGAAATTAAATCGACGGAAATTCATTGAAACCTTAAAAATGATATTTGGATAACTAAGAATCCGTCTTTCAATAAAACATATATCTTAAGGTTGAAAACTTCTTGGATCCAAAAAAATGTTGAAATCATATCATACAGTGCGTTTAATCTACCAATTCGGTTGGTTGCCGATATTTGGTTCATTTGTAGTAATTTGACAATTTCGAAAAAACTTTTGTGCATTTCAAATGGAAGTTAACAATTTTTCAATTCACAAGACTTTACTTCCGTAGATTCTCCAAAACTACAGGACCTGAAAAAAATTCATGTTTGAAATAGCGGATTTTTCACCATAAACATACACATCCTTCTCAAATTTCGAGAGATAACTCTAAGGAACATGAAGATATGGTGGCCCTAACAATGCTCAGACTGTTGTAACAGTAGATTATCTTGAATCTTAGGTTAACTGCATAAATCGGCAATACTTATTTCCAGTTTTTTACTACCAAAGAAACTACACCTGCAAGAACAGGAACGTTTTCGTATAATCTTGCCAACACCACATGTCTCAGAACAAGCACTCCATCGTCCCCACCGTGCCCATGAACAAGTACCTATGTTGAAATTACTATTATAAGCGGTCATTCGTTCCTCAGACATTCCAGCACCTCTCGATGGTGGTGTGAATTTTGCTGGTGCATTGAAACTCGCATTTAATCTAACCATTTCCATTTGTGGACAAAAGCATTCAACCTGTTCCACAAGTTTGCCATCACATTCACATCTGGTCTTTGTTGCTGAAAAATTGAGTAGCGTAGTTGTTCAGCGCCCTTACTTGAAGATGTTGAAAATGTAATTTTAAATGATATTTATCACTGATGATATGATCAAATGACTTATGATGATCAGACATAATTAAAGTGATACAGAAACTAACAAAAACCAATGCAAGATCGTGTCCTTGTTTTGGAGTCATTCATATAAGAAGTGTCAGAATTCCATGATGACCACAAACAGTCCATATTAATATCACGTTTAGCTGGTATTATTGGACGACAGTTATATTGAGAAAGGTTAAGCAACTCTGCCTGAGTTGGATGCGGACGAAATATTGCTGCATTCTGTTCCGTTGTGGATAACCGCCGTAATTCTTTCCCTATGTAGCATCCCTTAATAAAATTTACTCTATAACTTCTGTATAACAAAGCCATCTGAAACTCACCCAAATTTTAAATCCTAAAATTTTCTGACTATTTCGGACAAACTATTGCAAAAGGCAAAATCAAAACTAAAATTTATTGAATAAATTCCTTCATCAAAAATAAAAACCAAAAATTAGAGCATATTCCTAAAAAATCCATTTTTTGCAAAATTTATGCGACTTAAGAAATTTTGAAAAGATAGAAAATACTGGAAGAATGCAAGGGTTTTTTTCAATGTTGCTATTTGATGCATGATCATTTGCCGGGATACCATCAATGCAGTACCGAGTTCGTATCCAATTTCTCTAAATTGCAAAATGTTAAGTATTTCAACTACAAATCCAAATATGTGTGTTCGAATTGATATACAAGAAAAATATATCAAGAAATCTGGGTCAAATTTAAATTCTTTAATCTTTTTTAGAATAATGTGTTGCATTTGTCTGACTTTAGAAACTTATTACCTGATCACATGATCCAATACAACCACATCTTTCGGTCCATTGAGACCAACCACATGTCGAGGCATTGCTTCTCTCAGGACATGGTATTTCGGCACAGCTATCCTCCTCCCGCAGTTCTCCATCACAACGACAAAGAGATTCATCTTTTTGTACAAAACCATCTGAAATTCATTCAAACTTAAAATCCTAAAAATTTCTGACTATTTTTTGACAAACTGCTGCAAAAAACAAAACAGAACTTTAAAAGTTCCAAAATTAATTGGAATAAATTCCTTCCAAAAATAACAAACTAAAAATTATAGCATTTTTGATAAAAAAATTTATTTTCGCAAAATTTCAGGAAGTATAAATATGCAAAGACTTCTCGGATGAATTATCAAGGCACCTTGTTCAAATGGTCCAAAATTATAAGCATTTGCTGCTCGCCGATGTATTCGCATTAAACTTCCTAATTTTACCGGTACTATCCGTTGCAACCCTTTAAAATTTTAATATGCATTTACGTAGCTATTATTTTCATGAATTATAAGATGTTTAAACATTCCTGTTTACATAAGCAAAAATTAATGACAATTTTAGGAAATTGCTGTAGATTCTTTCTTATCTCGATTAAATCTAAATTTAATTTTAACATTTCAATATTGCAAATTCTGAGTCACCAGCTACAAATGGTTTTAGCATGCCTTGTGTCTCATAATTTGATCTTGCATAGTGTCCGACGACAGCGGGACCAAATCCATGTTGCACAACAGTTGGTTCTATTGACATGTGCTTTCGTATCATTTTTGAATAACTTGGTGATCTAATAAATTCAGAAGTTTGCAGTCTATCAATCTGAGAAGAGCAGATTCGGTGTCTGAAAAAAATTATACATCGTTTGTTGAAATCTGATAACTCTCTTCACATTAAATATTCGTAATCAGGAAAAGTGTAGAAATATATTCGAGAAGTATCTGAACAGCAATACTGCTAATAACAAACAAAAATCTGATAATGAATAACAAGAAATGAATCAGCAACAACTGCTATACAAGAAATTTTTAATTCAAAGATTCTTCAGAAATCTACAATTCGAAATCTACGATCATTCTTCAGAAATCTACGAAACTGACAAAAGTCAACATGCAATGGACATAAGAGTATATTATCTTTTATAATAAATGGAACAAATGCAAAGGAATTTTTGATGAACATCGTCACCAACTTAAAGTCAATACGTCACTTTACCTTACCTTCTTCTTGTAAAACTTTCGAAAAAAAGTTAAGTTAAATGACTTTTGTAGTTTTTGATAATATTCTAATTTCATTACTCTTTTCTCTCTACCACATTTGCAGAGAGAGAGAGAGAGAGAAGAGTAATAAAATTAGAATATTATCAAAAAAATGAATGCATATTATTTTTTTATATAACAAATGGAAAACCTTTCACGAATGCCGCCACCACAAGTTACACTACAAACAGTCCATGTTGTCCATTCGGTAAGTTTACAACAACGCCCTAAAATCTTTCATTAGAAAATTAATATGTCATAATGATTTAGTAAATATCGCTTATTCTACTTTAAAATGTGTAACGATAACGACAACCAACAACTCAAACGTTTGTTTAAAAAAAAATGAAATGAATGGATAGATAAGCTATCGAAACGTTTGCATGTAATAGATCGATTGGAAGGAAAGTAATACAAACTTTTTGGTTTTGATGTAAACGATACAGGTATATGATATTATTAATGCTGTTAAATTTTTCTATTTATTTTGATGCTTCTTCTTATGATCATAATCGGCCTTAAGGAAAAAATTTGCGGTGGTAATCCGTCGGCTATCCTATTTGTCGGCTATCCTATTTGTCTTATATTCGAATGGCCAATAAGAACCATCCGACAGTAAACTTGAAACTTTCTTCATGCAAATCCTAGCGTATCTCAGTATTTCCTAATCGTTGTCATTTCACACCGCATGTTAACTGTTATAATAACTGAAACTGATAGCGATAGCAATCAGTCCGTAGATATTTGATATGTGATTAACCTGCATCACACCGTTCCCTGTCGACAGAATTCCCATTGCAACTGTTATAATCTCGAATAAACCTGATTACTGAAATATTCTCGCGAACCTGAAATTGTGCAAGTCTTTCATACATTTGATTTACAGGATCGGTTTTAGTTCTCTTATCGCTTTTTCTTCTACGTCTCTCTTCTAGTGCAAAGGAAATTCAATGAGTTTTTGAAATTAGATACGCAACTTACGGAGGACATAGTTGACGTTAATACATTATTACTGTGTTGCGAAGTATTGCTTGATATCTTAATGTCACCATGATCATCTGCAGACAGGTCACTTTTATCTTGGGGAATAACTTCCGGTTTTATGCTCCCTATTGTTGTTGTTTCATTCTTTATTACATCTGCAAGTAATGAAATTAATCCTTTTTTTCAGGATATTACAGTCCGTTTGCCTAATAATACCGAATTTCTCTCCTGTTTCTGCTCGTTTTCTGTTTATGAAGGCTTGTAAAACTGTTATAGTAAGGAATAAACGAACAGGTAAATGTTGATTACCTTCCATAGAGAAGCCTTCTTTCGTGACATCATTTTTTATACATCTGAAAATAAAAAAACCGCTACTTCTCATTCGTTGTAAGCAATAAATACGACAAATTGATATAGGAAATATAGAAATATTAAGGAAAGGTTGCAAAATTATTAAGCAAATGATTACTTACATATTCTAACTTATAACTTTGTGTTAACAATTAAAGTTTTCCGAAAATATAGACATTTGATGATCACTGAAATTTCTTGTTAATATGCAATGGCAGAGGTCAATAAATCTCACCAACCGGTCTGTCCTACTGTGTAATAAATTCTACTAATTAATTTCAATTAATTGACAATTACGTTTTAATTTTATAAATCATATTTGTTGCAAATCAATCACTCCCTTGATAGTTGATCTAGTCATCACATTACCTACTTTCTTCTTCGTTCGCGAATACCAAAACCACAGGTAACAGAGCAGGCACTCCATGAGGACCATTCATCCCAATATGGACATACCGATTCCTGACAAAATCGAAACTCCCGCTCGGCACCGTCGCATTTCATACCCGTTGGAAGGCAACATCGTTGCCTGAAGTAAAATAATATTATGAAAAGTAAGTGGTAGCTCAATAAAACCATAGAAATTAACCATAGCCATATACTAAGGCATTTGAAGTGATATTTGGCGACAAGACCTATTTTGTTGACCATGTCCACAAGTGACACTACATATTGACCATGAACTCCATGGAATCCAGCTAGGACATTCGGGCAGATCTTTGCATAACATTTGATCTTGTGCTGCACCATCACAAAGCGAACTTATCAAATTATTTCTTATGCAAGTCCTGCAATTTCTACATAATAATGCTAGCAAACTTATCATAAAGAATATTTCTGCTTTTTTCCTTAAAAAAACTTGAAATTTAGATTTACAAAAAGATTCGAAAAGAAACTTATTATAAAATACTTATGACTTTCATGAAGGCTAAGACTATCAGCTATCCGACAAAGTCCAATGTATCTATCACATACACGCACTTTAAAAAAATGTGGACAAAGTCCAATGTATCTATCACATACACGCACTTTAAAAATGGTTGTTTTCAATTGCAATCAATGTGAATGCTTAATTTACCTTACGCGTAATTTACTTCCCTTTGTACCGCAGGTTTCAGTGCACTGTGTCCATGATGACCAGTTGGTCCATTCTGGACATGAATTCTCCATGCATACTTCATGTTCTTCAGCATCACCGATACAGTTGTTACTACCATGACAAATCCTTATTCGATGCTGGGATGAAATCAAAATGAGTGTAAGGAAGCTTGGAAATTTTGTGTCAACATTAAGAATTCTGAGAGTAGGAAGTGGCAAAAGCCTGAGGGCTTAAATTAAAGATTATAAAGTATCACTAACAGTTAAGACAAGAAAGGATGATTGAAAGATGAAGACGCTTGTTCATTTTTTTTACCTTTTCAAAGCTATCAATGTTTATCATTTTCTTTAATATTAATATTATAAATTGTACTTAAATATATTGTTAAGGAAAGAAATTCACTCATTTAATATTTCTGAGAATCTGTCCAAAAATTTCAAACACAGTACCCGTTTTCCACTACCACAACTGACACTGCACATGCTCCACGATTCCCAAGTGGACCAAGAAGGGCAAAGTGGTTCTTTGCATGTCTTTTTTTCAATGGTTTCACCAATACACGAATTACCACCCATACATTGCCTAAAATTCAAACTCTGAAAGTTTAGAAAAAAGAAAATTGTTTAAATACCAAAACTATTATGATATGAATTTATATTTTATTTATAGAAGTATTTATTCTGATTAGAAAATAGCACCAAAACTGATAAGCCTGAACAGTGCTGCTTGTATGATTTACCTTTGTCTTATTTGTTGTCCAATTCCACAGGTCACAGAGCACTGTTCCCAATTGCCCCATGTAGACCATTGGCCACAATTCTCAACATTGCATACTTCTACGATCTAAATTTCTTGAAAATTTTCTGTTGATAATTTGCTCAAACAAGAGCTGGAAGAAGCACGTTGCACTGTTAAAAATAAATTTTCAAAATTGTTTAATATGAAACATTTACCACTGAAGGCCCATCACACTGTCTACTAACAGAACAGATACGCGAACGTGATCGCTCACCACCATCACAACTCCGCGAACATTCGGTCCATTCTGACCAAGTCTCCCATTCTGGACATGGACCACTACTACACAGTTCTTCTTTCACCGACTCACCTAATAAAATCAGTTCAAAATATTAAAATAATAAAAGTTAATAAGCAAAATGTTAGAAAATGTATTGTAAATCTCTTTGCTAAATTAATAATGTTTTTTAATAGTCTTTACTGAAACCGAAGGATATATATTTATTATTGATTTTTTATTATTATAATAATCAATTCTCAATTTGAATTAAAAATACTTACCTTCACATTGTCCATCAACTGAACAAAATCGTCTCCGCGTTGTGACACCTATCCCACAAGTAACTGAACATGGAGTTTGTGCTGACCATTCTGACCAGGAAATTATCATACTCTCCGTATGTTGAACTGTTGTTGTTGATAATGGTTGCACCGAACTGTGTGACAGATCTTCCGGTTCAGGTTTATTGGATTGTTGCGGTTTGTTGATATAACTTCCGGACCATTCTTTATTGAACAATGTTGTTTTAGGAACTGAATTGAGAGAATCTGTGGATACTTGTGGACACGTCTAGAATTGATGAGATTTTAAAAAACGTTAAATTTTAGTAAAATATTCTAAAAGAAAGGAATATTTGCAGCGAGTAAAAATGGTAATCATTTAAGATGAAATTCACTGAGGCAACAATTTAGGCAAAATAATTCTTTTTTGAATGCCTTATAAAATTGAAGATTATGAAGCAAAAGCTACTCGCTGAAAATAATCGAGAAAAGCAGAACTTATCCAGCATTCGGTTAATTTTTCTTCAAATTATAATCAGAAACTAACTTACTACAGTAAAACAAGGATTAGGTCTCTTTGGTTCACAGCGAGGTAAATAAGTTGGACATGGCCAATTATAGCCTGATTTTTGAAAGTAAGCTAGTGATGGTGCGTAACAATTTCCTCCTGAAAGTGATATTTAATGGTAATTAAAACCTAATATCTATTAGGCAATTGACAGATTTTGATATTCTCAATCAATTGAAAAACAAAACCTTGACATCTACTATAGATTGCCCCTTGTCGACCATGATTTACAACAGCCGGTTTAATGGGTGATAGAAGCGGTATTTCATTAGTTGGAATTGAATAACCCTATAACTTTAATTAAATTAGTTGGAATGGAATGTCTGGGCTTGATACTCAGATAAATTTATGTAGATTATGCTAATCCTATTCTTCTATTATTAGCAATAGATGATTGTTCTCATTTGTGCTGAAATTACATTAAATTTTTAAACAATGAGCTAACTTAGCTTATACCTCCACCTTTAATTAAGTATATTCGTTTTTTTCCTCTTCTGACAATGAATTTTTAACTTATTCAAATAATATTTTAAAATTTACCATTACTCTCTTTTAAGTTTCTTGAAGTATTTCTCAGAATATAATGCCTTGGATTTCACCAATACTATCAGATGATAATTTCACATGAACCTGTTTTGGTAAATAATTGTTGTTGATATTTGATGAAATTTGTGATGAAGTTGTTGAGTAATGATTTGCATGCGGTAAGAGTTTGTTGACGTAAAGTGAAGATGAAGGATTAAAACGATCTTGAGCCAATGGTACTGATCTAGCAATTGATGGTCTAACCGGTTCTGGAAAAAAGCTAATTTTTTCAAGTGATTTTTTATGCAAATATGGAGCGGCTGGTTTTTTAAAGGCACTTGGCTAAAACACATTCAAATGTTTGACTGTAATAATAAATGCAAAGGCAATGAAAAAGGGAAAATATTTGAAAGAAATCAGTTGTTTGCTTATAAATAACTAAACAAAAGATATCAATAATGAATAAATGAGCATTAGGCAGCTATACTCAATTGTACGCTTATTGGAAGCCTTCTAGTAATGGCATTAAATAAAACTTAAATAAAACTAAAAATTAAAACAAAACTCTAAATTTTTCAATGTTAAAAGGACTTTGTTGAATGAATGAATTTAATTCCTTTCTTCTGAATCTTATTAAAAGATTTAATTTTCTAGCAAATCACTGTAATATGCGTTTTTCAACCCCTCTCTTGCGTTCTTCGACAATCTGCAGTGTTCGTCTTAATCAAAAAAATAAGCATTTTTACTTCACTTTTTTTATCATCTGAAGTCTTACTACTCGTTCTCTTTCTGGTCGATTCTTTATTCTTAAATTGTTGCGCTGCTTGTAGCGGTAATGAAGTTGATGATTCTGGATCAGACCATGATTCGAGTTTCTGCTTTAGTTCTAATTTTATCGTCCCCAACAAATCATTTTCAAATTTTGGGGAAGCATTCGTTACCGGACACTTATCAAGAATTTCGAACACTGTACTTGTCGGATTTAAAGAATTTTCCAGTGTGATACTATTATCACTTGAATTCGAATTTGTACCATACAGCTGACAGAAACTTTTATTCTAAAATTAAAAGAATTTAACAATCTCACTATTTGACCTTAATTTTAGGAAAATGACCTTTTGAATGCTAAAAATAATACAATTTGATGGAATAAAAATTGTTGAAGTATAACAATATTCATTAAGATTTTTAGAACTATTTTGAAAATTTCAGGTGTTTATATTCGGCGTACCTTATTTTGTTCAGATATAAACAAGGCAGCTTTGCAATACTCAATATTGTCAATGCATCGTTCCACACATCGTAATAACGATGGTAATTCAATTCTTTGAAAAAATAAACCGTTTTGGATAGTATGGGATTTCCAAAAGCATATTTTCTTCGCATCGCAATCTTAAAAAAGTATATCTTTTCAATAATCTTTAAAGTATTCTTTACTTAGAAAAGTGTAAATTGAAATATCCTTATTTAATGCAAATAAATTTCAGTTTAAAAAAATCATTTTGGCATTAAATTAATTTAAGTTATATATTTAAAAAAAGGAAACTTGCCAATTTTTAGAAGAGAAAGGAATAGTAAGTGAAAAAAGCAATGTGGCCGTAATTTCATCGTTAAAGAATGAAAGAGAAAATAACCAAAGTTGTTAAAATCTAGGATATTTGTAGTGGTTAAATTGAGATTTCATAGCAATGAGAAGCAATCATTAAGAAGAAAGTAATTTGTATTGTTGGACGATCTATCAGATGGAATTTCTGCAATTCAAATGTTTAATAGTAATAAATGTAGAACTATAAAATATATTTGATGAAATCAAAAAGAGAGAGATGCAAAATCTTGATTTGTGAGACATAAAAATATCTTTTATTAGTATTATGTGAAGAAAGCTCGAAATTGAACTATCTAAGTCATCACAATCCTTTCACCAATTACCCATTCCTCGATCATGCAAATAAGAAGACCAATTTTTAAAGTATGAAGAAACGAAGCAAAAGAAAGAAAGGACTAATATAATCACCGACATCGTCCTCATTCCTCATTCCAGTAATCCGAATCAGATCGATAGCCATTATCTATCGAAATTTGAATGAATAAATCGGTAACCAGTTCTTACTTCTCACCATATTCAACATTTTTTCATTCATCAGAATCTTAAGAAAAGATTAAAATGAAAATGAGCAATCAGAATCAATTCTTATCACAAGCTTTCTTCCGGTCTTTTCTTCCTTTACATTCGCATATTGCGCATGATGGAGGAAAAGTTTTCAAATCTAATATTGGCATTTTCCTCCTGAAGGAATCGATTTTCAGTGATTTAATCACTTCGCTTCTTTCAGGATATTCCATAAACTTCTTCAGTGATGCATCCATTCAAAATTCCATCAAAAAACTGATGTCAAAAAAAAGTTCAAAATGTCAGAGAAAAGAGACAGTGCTTATTCAATCACATTTCAGACCCATTTTTTCAAACTATGCAACTAGAAAAAATTCAACATATAACTGTTATGAATTCATAGTTTCTCGCCAATACTTTAAGCAATAATAAGAGATTTCGAGTAATTAACCTTTGAATTTATCCGGTCTGATCGGTGATGTAAACATTAGAACAAAAGGGAAATTGATGTATGTCAAAAAATCTGAATCAATCGACTAAACAACGTTAATTTATACATAAATTGTATTCCCTCGTTCGTTGTTATCAGAGCATTCTTTTTAATTTAAAAAAATGATGAATGAAATTTTTTATTTTATTACTTACGGATCCCTTCCCATTACATTTTTTTATGAATCATTCAAAATATACCTTATTTATTACTGTACATCCTCACAAATACAATACTCATTCATTTAAGCCTTATATTCATACTCATAAGTGCCTTAAGAGATGAATGATAAAAGGAAGGAATGATATCAGAAATGAACACATGCTAAGGATGATAAAGAGAAGCGATATATAGAAGCAAAATATATTGATAGAAAACCTTTTGGCAATTTTTTTAAAAGCAAATAAAGCATACAAGAGTAAGAAACTTTTCCATTACACCTATGTGTTAGATATAACAGCTAATTAACTAATTAGCTAGAAGTTGATCATATTCATTCATCATTTTTTCTGCAAATCTTGTGCTTATTGCTTTTTTTCATATCGGACAATTTCCTATTCAATAAGAATTTCAGATTCTAAATATAGAATGTATAAAGTTATTTGTAAAGTTCCATAATTCTAGAATTTAACTCTCTCATAAGTTCAATTTATTATTTCGTTTTAAATTTAAATATGAAATGATATAGCAACAGTTCATAAAATGAACTTTTCATAAAAAAACCATTCTTTTATTAATGAGAACAAATACGAAATTAATATCGTATGTGTGATGTATATTTCACATAATAGATTTTGGATCCCACTGATTGGATTATGATCACTGTAATGAGTTTCTTTCAGTTCAAAGAACTAATATGATCAGATTCATTTTAAATTTGCATCACATATATGCAATAATAAATTATCACTTCTAAAAATGTATTCATTTCAATAAACTTACAGACAAATTATCAACATTATCACATAAATGTTGCATTTTCTTTGTTATCATTTGCTACTATCGTTATAATGTTATTATTATTATTATTATTATTATTATTGTGGAAAATTAAACATGCTATTTTAGCAAATTTTGACAGCAAACTTTTTCTTTTAACAAATTTTTCCATTAAACAAAATTTTCTTTTGTGCAATTAATTAATGGTATTTAGAGTTTAGAAAGATTGAGTAAGGCATTGAACCTTTCTACTCTATCCAATGCTCTGCTCCAAATAGCATACACACAGCTTTCTATCTAAATAGCTTTTTCCGATCGTTCACCGAATGTAATGAGACAAAGTTTAGAAACCTCATTGCTCAGATTTTTGTTTGAAAACAGTAAAATATTTTCTTAATATTTATTAGCATTCCTTAATCTGTGTAAATTGTCCAATAGATTTTTCATTTATGGAATATTTTGTTATCCCGATCATTCTCAGATCTTTTTCTAAATATTACACCATAATGCTTAATAGAACTTTTTTATCTAGAATTTGTAACGTGTTTATTGAATTCGGTCATTTTCCAATAATCAATATCTATGTTTTTGATAGAAGGATCAGTTCGCTATGTTGATATCTTCCGTGAACAATTTCCTATTTTTTTCAATGCAGCATTTTTCTTTTACAGTTCTTTATTATCACTTTATCAACTTTTCATTATCTTCTGTCTTCTTTTTGTTCTACTGGAAAGATATCGCTTAGAAACAAAAATCGTTGTTCTGTTGGTTATTTCGAGATTGAGTCACCACTGATTCATACCTGTCTCTTTGAATGTCCATAATTTCATTTACTCTTTCTGTTTTACTTCCAGCATTTTCTTGACTTTTCATCATCACTTCTTCCAGCTCTTCAAATGACTCATATTCTTTCGAAAGCTGACAAATTTCAGTCTACACCTTTTCTTAGACAGAGGTGCTTTTATTTCAGCTCGCATAATTTGTTTCCGAGTCTCTTTGATGATAACACATCTGCTTTGAGGAGCAATCCTTTTATTCATATTTGATGCTAAAGCGTATTGCTTTCATAGCTTTTTCTTGTCAGTCCTCGTCAATGATTGCTTAACAAAAATTAGACATCTTACAGCCGCCTATTTAACATCGAATTTTACAGTCAATATCCTAATTAATCTTTTCCAACCTGACTATCGTCAAATTAATTCCGATTTTTTCTTCTCTCTTTTTTTTGGAACAAATTTTCATGAATAGTATACAATTTAATGGACAAAATAATGTGCCAAATAGGTATGAAATTCCGCATCAGGAAATTTGCTTAGAGAATTTCCGGGAAGGGTGCTTTTGTTCAACTTAAATGGGTAAGGATCTGAGCGCATTTGGGCAATTAAGAGTGAAAATACTACATTTGTTATTATTTTTGTTGCATTGTGAAACTGAGTCATAAAATAAATCAATGATGGAATGACAGATGCGCACTTATTCCTCAATTCCGCATTTATTCCATCATTGTAGCTGCTTATTACTCTCGAAATTCAACATTTAATCGCTTACTAAGTGAATATTTTAAACTCTTAACTTACAAGCCTTCTTCTCTGCAATAATTTCAAATTTTTCGAGAACTCATAAATTGAAAACAATGCTAAAGATATGGGAATTGCAAGGATATCCTAAAATTGACCAAAATTTATTCATGCGAAGCTTAAACTAAACTAACCCTATGGCTAAACTATTGCACAACCTGTAACATTATTATTAAATAGAACTGCCACAAGTAATATCAATGATAAGTAAATTGGCAGATTATAACTTTGAGAAATTAAAATTAATGCTAGAATTAGGCTACCTTCGCAGTTGAAAAGATAGAATTTATCATATATCAGTTGCATTCTTTCTTAATTGTCTTATCATCACATCATTTCACTTTTATCTTTCACTGAATCAGTAATATTGTCAACTTTATAAGATATCTTTAAAAGTACAGTTATTTAAAAATTTCGAAAAGTTTTGAGATATTTTCGGGTATCCGTAGGTCGCTATCATTCCTTACGCTGATGTAAAATTTGAGAATATTTCAATAGTTCTTAAATTAAAATTCCCCTGAATATTTCATCAGTATATATTACTGGTTCCCAGCATGCTAATTTTAAATTTTCCCTTCCCACCAGATTGAGTCACAGAATGAGAAAAAGATAACGGAATGAGCAAAAACGAAGGAAAATACTTTTGATATAACAACATTTGATCATGGATAAATTCTTGAAAAAATAATTCTTTAAACAGATAAAATTTGATTCTCTTTCTTGTTTATATTTCGCAATGATTTAAATTTCATTAACTTTGAAGTTTCTTGCTATTACTCAATTTAATTTCTTAAATATTGATTCTATCATTCTACATCTTTTTAATTTCCTTCTAGTTAATTTCATTTATCATTTTTTGAAATTATCTGTAAAGCACTCAATGGAACTATGTAATTGCATTTATGAGAGAGTAGTATCAAGCAGTGAAGTAAATCCTATTATAATCTAATTGAAAAATATGATGGGTGACATTGGCAGGTACTAACGTCATTGTATCATCGCCTATGACCTAATTTAATATTTGGATTATCCATCAGTTTATATCATTTTCTTTTTTTTGGATTATTGTGTTATTTTATGTGTAGGATAATCCTAGTTTCATTTAAAAATTGATGTAAATATAATGAGAAAAAAGGATAGTGGCAGAGATATTCTTTCTGTTTAACTATTAACCTTTAACCTCTCATTTCCAACTTAATCAAATATCTGCCATATGTAAGCATAATCTTCGGAAGAATTCATTTTAGTTGAAAAATGTATATTATTGCTGCAAATTTAAAAACAATAATAAAACAAGAAATTATTCATTAATAATTATCTACAACTTTCGCATTTTTCAAACTATTATAAAAATAGAATTATTCTGCGTAGGTGAAAGAGAAAAAGAGTTTTTGCTTATTATCGTAACTCTTGTGATATGAAGTAAGCGTGTATAAATTTGAGAGAATTGTCAACAAAACCCTCCTGAAAAATAAATACAAATTCACCGAGCGATATTCGCGGAACAATAATCTTAACATTTTTTGTTCAAGTAAATAAATTTTTGTTCGCCCGATGATAGTATGAATATCAATTTTGGATTTATTATAGTGTTCATATTACCATGAGAATTTACATTGAAAGCAATGTTTATTTAGCTGTTTCAATATTCCCATAAAATTGAATATTTTTTTTCGGAGAATTTTGATTTATAAGAAGCAAAAAAGACAGAAGGCCAGATTGACTGTGTAATAAGCCTAATGAATATATATATTATTGTATAAATTAGAACATTCAGTGTTAGGCATCTCTCACCTCATGGCGGCACAACTCATGCGGATAGAACGAGAAACGATCTCTCGAAAGGAATTCACAATATTAACCCGCTTAGCAATTTTGTTTTTATTTATTCACTGGTCAAATCATTGATCGGACCACCTGACCTTCACCGAACGATATATAATAATTGCT